GTTCACCCGTACCAACTCCAAAACCAACGTACTACGGAAGTACGTATGTTGTTGTTACATTTGTATAATATAGATTTGCACATGTATTAGAGTTCAAAAGTAGATGCCAGGAGTAGCAACTCGATAAAGAACCAGAACAGTAGAGCACCTAGTGACGCAATGCTCATCGGAGCGTGTTCCGAGGTCGATCGCTACACTGCCTGCTCAGTTAGTCCTCATGTTTTACCTTTTATTAATCTTTATATGACGTATGCAAGTAATTTACAAGTGTCGAATAATCAGCCAGTTTGCCCTAAGTACTGCATCGAAGGCTGGGTTGAGTTGGGGATCGCAGGAAAAGCCTAAACTACCTACAGCTAATAGTAATCAATAGTTCCTCTCATCGTTTCGATTTCACGGAAATGCGTGTTTTGCCGGGAAATTATTAAAATACTTACAAATTATCAGCATATCATTGTTTTTTGGGCTGTTCGGGCGACGTGAGCGAGAAGAGGTTAATTCTTCGAGCAGCTTTCTGTGGTCCGCACGTGATGACGAAACCTCGTCTCCCTCACGTCGACTGAACAGCCCAAAAAAATATGTTGAACGATGGCCATGATAGCCTTACACAATTTACTCACAAATTGTGTTGGTATCCCTCTAGCGTCTTTTGGGGCATTCTGATTCGACGTAAAGCTTAACTGTGTCTCTCATCCCCAAGACTTTTGTAAAAATATCGAGTTCTCTATATTAAAAAATATGTTACCATTACTTACTACGAGTCCAATTTTTAATAGAATACAAAGAGTAAAAATGAATGAAAATATTTTGCCAAGAGACGCTTGGAAAGCTGAGATGTTTGGAGTAGAACTTTTGTTTACAATCTTAAGTTATGAGTTTCCCAATTAAGAATATTGTAATAATATTTATTCTGAATTTGAGGGTACATATACTTTTTAAGTTATGCTCGGCTTCATTGGTATAGTAATTGTAGATCACAATGTTTCAATTGGGGCAAACGTTTGGGTTTGTTTTTAGGAAAAGTAGTGCCCACAGTACTTTAGCACATTAAGACTTTTTTCTGGTTATCATCACTTACTTGGTAGGGATAGTTGATAAATCCCATGAATCTGCACTTGAGTTGGGTCTTAGAACGCTTTGACCTTTCTATGATAGACCCGCGCCCAACAGTGGGACAATAATGGGCGTACGTGTTTGTATATTCTAGTCGTATTCGGTTACCATGGCGCAGATAACGACCCGTAGCTCGAGTCACGACACGTGCTCGTAATTAATATTCAATGTCTCTGTTACCGCAGTTGATGTGTGAGGAAGTTTGCAAAATTCAGCTCACAACGTTCTTTGCATTTTTTATTTTTTGATTTGGTATTTTCTACTCGACGTTATTCGCTTATGTCATTAAAACCAGATTACTACTCTATACTATATACACGTTTCTTTTTATTACTCTCTAAGTTTTAATATGTCTAAGTTTGCGTTGTATTTCTAGCTAGAAATTGTAATTAGAGACGGATGACGAAATAGTAGCCCTAAAAGGTACCCCGTAGCGTTATATCTTGAACCGATATAAGATGATTTTTATATACCAATAGTTAGATATAGCCAATTTTTTTGCACCTACGTACAAAAAAGATCTTAATGAAATCTTAAATGCGGATACAGTTACCAAACTTTGACCATTAAACTGCCATTTTCTAGGAAGATACGACGCATCGATTTTCCTCTTAATTAGCAAAGTGTTACCCTATAACAAAAGCCTAATTAATTGACAATTAAGTGGCAAGTTTGCGGAGCGTGTTCCGTCCGTAACGACCCTTGTGCCGGCCTCCGGACAATTTCCCGAAACCGCCTGGCGATCTGCCAACTTGCTAAAATATTATACTAAATGACTAGCAGTTTTATATCGGATGCAGTGTTGTTTGATCTTCGGGTATTGGTAGAAATTTAAATTATAATTAATAGAACGACTTCTTAATTTCTTAGTTCAAATCCAATATGTATAATTAGAATTATGTATTATATTCGTTTGAGAGTTAGAGATAAAGAAGTAATCCTCTAACTTGTTCACCCTCTTGCAATGCAATAGGTTACTACTACTACATTATTATCAGCTTTCTGGGCTTCGCAAGTTGTTTGAAATATATAGATTTAAGGGTAGTTAGAAAATGACATACACCATACATTTTGCGTATGAATAAGTGTGAGAGTTCTTTGCTGACATTAGATGAAATTGGTCAATAAAAAGTGTTGTTGAAAATCACATTTCTAAATAGGTCAAAAGCTGTTCATCTCGAGATGTATATTTTATTATAATACTAGCTGACCCGGCAAACGTTGTTTTGCCATATAAATAATTTTACTAAAATGGCTCTTAAAAATAAGGGTTGATCGTAGAAGGGTGAAAAATGAGGATCGTATGTATTTTTGTATGTTGTATCATAATCAATTCAAAATTTTGTCTAAAAAAGAAATAAATAAATTTAGGGGTGGACTACCCCTAACATTTTGGGGAATGAAAAATAGATGTTGGCCGATTCTCATAGATACCGGTTAAGCACAAATAATTTCATCAAAATCGGTCAAGCCGTTTCGGAGGAGTATGGCAACGAAAACTGACACGAGAATTGTATATATTAGATTAAATAAGTGAACTAAAGTGTTCAGTTAAAAAATTTTTGAAAGTTAACAAAAAATTAAGTAATTGAGAAAAATCAACAGAAATAGCTAATAATTAAGGACTGTACAGGAAAGTTATTAAGTTTAGAAAAATTTATTCTTGCGAGATTAGCAATATATAGCGTAACATCATCTATCGAGAATTACATATACAGCCCGGTCCAACTAGTAAAATTTATCTATCTCAAACGCTGGCTTGACATGGACCCGTGGTGGCCGTTGGGTGTTTGATTATAATGGCCAGTCAAAGTGATAAATTAATCACTTTGCCCATCTCTCTTGGGCATTATTAATAATCGCCTGTATATATTAATAATGTCCAGTTAATCACGTGACCTGTAACATAGACATTTGCGAATGCACCATATAGATGACGCATTCATACTAGACGATAACTGTGTTTCCTCTAATTTAGTAAAGTGTGGACGCTCTCTTGTCACGCCATTAACCTTAAATCCACCAATTTGATGCACACGATACCAAAGTCAACTGACCGCGACAACATCGCAATTTCATTGAATAATCGTTTAATCCGTCCATTTGATATGATATCATGATCTGGGTATCTGCTTACAGAAAGCTTCTAAATTGCTCGCCCATTGCTGGCTATAATAATTTTGTTTTATCACGTTAATTACCTTTCGAATCCGGGTTTGAATCCTCGTACGAGTAAATATTAGTTTGGAATTTGAAATTGGTCCTAGATCTGGTCTTGGACTTAAAGTAGGATGTGTTATCCCTAGCTTCGAAGAGCATCCTAGGTCAATTATTGCATATATTTAGATGCGATAGTCGTTTGTCTATGCTACTCCAGATCTGAAGTAGAATAGAGGGTCCAAGCTTTTAAGCCTTCTTCCTTGTGAATGAGAAATAGATTATCCCCGTCGAGCAGTGAGACATCAATGAGTATAAACGATCATCCTTTTATTTGTGTTGTTCAAATTTTATTGCGTAGTAATTCGAGTTGTATTATTTATTGTTTCAGCTTATATGACTTATAAGGAACAAATTACTTCGTCCATTTTCATTTGTGCAAGCTTCATTTTTGTTGTTTTTTTTTTTGTTTGGACTCTTACGTATTGTGTTCTAAGGAGCCAGAATACTAATGGGTTTTGGGGAGGCGATAGCGCTCGCGTGTTTGGGCTAGACCAAGGGTGCGAGGGGGGATGGTGGTTGGAGGAAGGGTGGGAGTAGAAGAGTTGGACGGAAGCTCACGGGTGAGCGGTACGCGAAGCGAATGACCTCGCCTACGCCGGCGTAGGCGGTTTTGGGGGATGGAGGTGTGGCCGATGCATAGCAATAAGTAAGTCGACGACTTTGGTTAAGTCGTATGGGTGGTGAGAAGTAGGGCCTTTCAGGTGTATTAATGGGAAGGTGTAGTTGGGGGGGCAAGTGGGTTGGATGGTGAGCTTTTTTAAAGAAAGTTGGAGTTTTTGAAGTACCGACTGAGGGTCGGTAATTCGAGATGGGTGAAGATTTGCATTCCGTACGCACCAGATGGCTCCAGTGGGGTTGAGTGAACCGATTTGAAGACCTGGAGCCTGTGAATGTATGGGGGGGGTGAGCGAAGCGAGTGGAGTAGGTAAGGATGGACGAATACAAGTTTTGTAAAGCATAACTTTATGTCTGAGGGACAGTTTGCTACGCGCGCAGATCATGGGATAAAGCCTACTCATGAGTAGCAGGTTTTTACGACAGACTCGATTAACATGTTGCGAAAAGTTAACTGTTTATAAGGTGAGCCTAAGTACTTAGTGGATTTTTGCCACGGAATGTCTTCGGTAGAGTTAATGGGGGGGTTGGACGGTTTTGTAGAGAGTGAGGGTCTACGAGTGAAGTAAATTGGACTTTATGGGGTTGACTCGACTCTCATTTCGGAACCATGCGCTAGGGGTGATGGGTTGGAGAGTGGTCTTATTTTTGTATGACAAACTTTTGTTTGTGTTTCACTGTAACAAAGATCCAATCGATTACTTCCTTCTTACCAATCGAAATTAACTGTTCCTGACATTCAAACCCGGTCAAGTACGCTTAATGAAATGTTATACATACAACGCGTTTGTGTTCAACAGAAGGAAAACAACTGTTAATTTATTAAACCATAAAAATATATAGATATATATTCTTTTTTTTGTCGGTCTTACAGGTAGTATCTCACCAACTTCCATTTCTGGGAGCATTTCATGGATATGTTATTTGTAAAATTAATTTGAGATATTATACATAATAATTATAATTAGATCACTATCTATGAAATCAATATCTACCTTCCACGAAGCGTTTGTGTCTGTGCCAATCTTCAAGCGAAACTTTTTCACTAAATCATGGCACGGTGTAGTAGAGGCCATTACGACTTTCCAAAAGACCTGCCCCGCTGTAAAACTACTTTCGGAACAGAGTTCACATACCTCGTGCCTGCCAAAAAGGATGCAATTAAAGCAGTGCGCGGGGAGAGTAGAATCTGTTGTAATTGCGGCGATTATGCGATTGGGATCGGCCTTCGCGTGCTCCCGCGCACATTGCGCAAGCGCAGCATTGACTTATTACGCTAACTTGCTATTAGGGATTCATGTGTCTTACTTATACGGTCCCAAATAAAATCTAAGTAAATAAATTAATTTAATTTTTAAGTATTTTTCTCATCTTCGCTAGTGAATATCTCCTGTAAACAAGCTTGGTAGTGAAAAAATATTCCAAACGTAAAACTCTTCAATACTAATGATGTATTTATTTCAATACATACGCTATAGTGAAGTATAATTATTTTTATGTTCTACATAATATAAAATACACTAATTATATACATATTATTATAGAAAAATAAACTCAAAATGCACAAAATCCCTTTTTAAATACTGTATTACGTATACGACTCACATACACGTCTAAGGCACACAAGGGTAAAAATGTAACGTTCAGGTATTTACGTCTCCACCAGACCAGAGATTAGTTACAGAATTCAGTCATCCGATCAGTGGTACATCTCTACATTTTACGTATATACTATATAGACTACGTCCTTTAAACGATCAAATGTCTCCTATATAAATATAAAACGGCTTTAAAGATATGTTCTTAGCCGTTTAAGCAAATGCCAAACGGTGCAACAGTGGCTTATCTTAACGCGTTTAACGAACGCTCTCGTTTCCAGGCTAACACTCGAAATGCGGCTGCGAGGCGTCACACTGCGATACGTGTCAAGTGAGGTAAAGTGATAGTGAAGTGAGTGGTGTATCGGGTCGATTGAGCCCGATGTTGGTGCCATGGCGTACCTGAACAAAAAGAAGCGGTACAAGTTCGGGGTGCAGATCTGCCTCGAGGAGCTGACTGAGGTGCCGTTCGTGTCGGCCGTGCTCTTCGCGAAGGTGCGACTGGACGGCGGCAATTTTGTGGACTATTCCAGCAGGTGAGTGATTATGGGTTGTATGCTTGTAAGTAGTTTGTTTATCCGTCATTATTAATTAATGTTAGTAATGTACATAGTGTTCGCGAGTAGTACACGTTTTAATAAAACACTTTTAACGGTTTAAAAGCTGACGCAAAGCATCCAAAACGTCGGATCTTAGTTCTAATAAATTATAAATCAGTTAATACATTCCACGTTTTAAACCGTTAAAAGTATTTCATTTAAACATTTTTTTTATAACGTAAGTATTTGTAAAATGTATAAAAATGTTTTGACGTATTTTCGCTATCGACACGTTTCTGAAAAGTCCCTTACTTATCTTGGATTTTTACAACACAATACTAGACCTTCATATAAAATCGTGTTCACTCTTTATAGACTGAACTTTAGAAGTAAAGATCAGTCTATAAGGAGCATTTTGCGATATGCTCGCTCTCCAATCGTCCGCGATCACTATCAACCTCGGTATTCATCAAGTTGTTTACAAAGCGATGCAAATCTCCCTCGAGACAAGGAACACGTAATCTCTAAAGACTCGGATCTCCGCCAAACTTGATCTCACAGCGTCCCATCGAGATAACCTGTTTACACATGTTACGTTGTCGTTTCACCCCTTTCAACTGTTAATAGGGTTTTTAATAATGCAGATGTTGTGGAAATTACAATACCTATAGTGTATATGTATACTAGCAGAACGAGAACCCAAAACACATGAATGCTTGAGTTTTGCGACTGTTGTTTGCTATTAAGTATTCAGCGCGCAATGTATGATAAAAGCCGGTCGCCACGGCGCGCGGTTTGTTTGCGTCAGCTGATATATTTGAATTACATTGCGTAATAAGTATACAATTATAAAATTAAGTAAGCACCAGGTGGTATATGGTGATAAAAAATGTTTTAAGAGGATTACACGTGTTTTTAGGACATATAAATTATATTATTTGGTAAAGTGGTATCTTTCTTATTCAATAACTATTGTTTTTAGTACAGTATATTCACAGTGAATTGTTATATTTGACTCTCTTATATACTAATACTTTTATGATTGATCTCATTCATTAAAGCAGGCATACTAACGCAATATAGTACACTATTTCTATAGTGTTCACTGTTCACCCAATTTGTACGCTCGCACAAAACCATTGTCCCGATAATACGATTCGGGAGCTTTGTGCCGCATAGAGTGCGATAAAGCTTCATCGTAGGTCCCGGGCTCAATAGAGATCCTATATTTTCTAGTCGCGTACGATATTGATTGTGTTTTTACCCTTTCGCAGACACATAAAAAGGTCATGTCGTACAATTAGGATTGGTAATGGTAAAACGTACAAGAAATAACTTCTCAAAATACCCGTTTTTACATATACAGAGTAAATAAACGTATTTTTCTGCTATGTTAGGTTTTATATGTACATAATTGTTACTGTTAAATACATATAAAACTTGTATTTTATTAAACTCGTAGTTTCAGTTATTTAATTTCAACATACAAATAATTCTAACCCCCCAGGGGAAACTTTTTTTTTTTTGAGAATTTGGTGTGTAAATTTTCGGCTATAAATCTCTTTTTCATTCACGCGATCTTCACTGACCTATTAGATAAAAACGCGAGTGGTACATTTCCGTTTTAAACCGTTACAGTTGTTTTATTTAACTTCTAAAAATCATATTTCTCACGTCGCTAGACGCAGTTGACGCAACAATGATTGCCGCGGATCCAGTTTCGATTTCGCATGAGTTGCTCGAATTGATGTGTGCCACACCTCTTGTGAAACGTTTATGCTTCTAGAGTGTTCATTCGGTCTAAAGAAAGCGCTTCTATGGTTCCTTTGTGGTTAATTGCTTCGCTTAAGTCTTAATATCTTCTACAAAAATTGTCCCTGAAACGCCTACGTGGAACATAGACATTTAAATATGTACGAAAACATTAAAAAAACACTTAACGTTTAAAACTAAAAATTGAAAAATTTAATTGCCATTTATTTAGGTGGTCACGGAAACATTTAAATACTATGCAGAGGCAGAGTGGCCTAATAACAAAAAAAAACCATAATTATCAATAAGAAGGACACTAAAAATGCGCTATTGCTAACATAACCGAAAATGGATTTGTACTATATACTTACTTACTGTAAGAATTATCTTAACAATTTTCGGTCACCCTGCTCTTGTAGATTATCATTTTTAGTCTATGAAAATATAAACAACTCAAGTCATTAAATTGCAGTTAGGCTACTCTGCTTGTAGCGGCCTCACAAAAATATATTTTTTTTATAGTGATAAGCAGTATCGCTGTAAGACGTCCATCTCAATATAGACCAATCTAGTCTGAACCGAGTCTAGACGTAATGGTCTTGACCGGTGTTATTGTATAACTGCTTCCGTTACTCGATACCTCGAAGCCGAGCTTATCTTCACAATTGCTTACACGTCGCTAAGACAAACTATTTCACTATTAATTCGCTAGCTTTCGCCCGCGACTTTCGTGGAAAAACTTTGGCATTTTTATAGACCTTACAGTTTACGTTATAAGTTATAACTCGAACTGGACATTTTTTTTAAATATTCAAAGGCAGTATATATATAAACGTGACAGTTTTTTCATCTGTTGACGTTGGTTCGTGACCCGGACGGAATTTCCATATTCCTCCCACCCATTTATACATTGATAGACACATGTTGGGTACGGTGGGGAACCTACCCCGAGTATTATTATTAGCCGTGCACATCGAGCCCTTTGGTTTATTGGTTTGATCAACAAATCCTATATACTCCGGCTTAATCATTACTGACCACCAAAAGAGTTTTCTGTTATATAAAAGAGATTTAAGTCTTAAATTATAAGTAAAAGTAAATTTAACATTGGATAAAATAGTGCAGCTTCAATTCACATATTACTTAGAACGTAGAATGTTAATGAATGCACGGCATTAATAATTAGGACAAGCCACTCCACGTGAAATGCATTTTTAACGTGTTCCCGAGGTATTTCGTTTACTCCCTTTCTTACTTGTAGCTAACGTTAATGTTGTTATTTATATTTTATTTAGCAATACAAAAAAAACCACTAAACATGTTTCTCTGAGGCTCATTGCGCTATTGCGAGAAGTCCACGGTTTGTTTCCCGCGTAGATGAAATCAATTAATAGTTTATATTTGGCAACTCACAAAAATCTGGCTTATATGCATGTAGTAAAATCAATCAGTAGTGTCCTATGTCTACCCCGTAAACGTTTAAGTAGCGTGAAGACTAAGCAACAAGTTTTCACTTTAACGTTAGTTACAGTAATAGTTGAGGGAATATATTATATGTAATTTGGGTAAATAAAAAACAACAATATTATAAAACTTTTCGAATATAAAACCGTTAACAATTAACATAGAAGTATTTGTTTTCAAAGGCTTTAAATACTCTCTGTAGTTTACGCGAGTAGTACACATTTAAATAAAAATACTGTAACGTTTTAAAACGCGATTTATATATTAAGTAGTTAAACTTATTTGAAAATTATTTTAACTACGGCGCGACGTTTCGGATGCTTTGCAGCGGCCGTGGTCACGGGAGACTAATATATATCGTGTTTTAAACCGTTAAAGTGTAAAGGCATTAGTTATACACAAGAAAATTATACATGTTGATTTAAAATAAAGTAAATTTTTACATTCAAGTAAGTACTTCAATTTAGGTATAGATGCACACTAACGTTCTTTTGTATGAATATATTGATCTCAACAATGTTTTCTAATTATAGGTGATTCTGACGCGCACAAAGATGATTGTTTGTCTCCTATTGAGATATAAAAACAAGAACAATACTGTTTACTGTCGTACGAGGAAGCAAGGTCGACGTGCGCGTTGTTCTCTCGTCAGTCTATTGTTTTGCCTGTCTTCTGCAACTCGGAACTAGATCTTGACACCTCGTATTGTTTATCTGCGATAGCTTTTCTTGTTGCGCGGCCGTGTGGCTCAAATGACCAATGTGTTCTCTATATAAATGTTCCACGTCTGAGCTTTGTCAAAATATTAATGTAAAGGAAACACTGTTTATAAGGATATATTTATAGTTTATAAGGAAATAAAATATTAAAATTTTAATTACCCTTCGACGGTAAATTAAATATATTAGTTGTTTAACGTGACGTTTTTGATTCTGTGCAGCAGCCGTTAAACTTTTACTTTCTTAAGTAATTTATTACGTAATTGCAACAAAGTTGAAGCCAGATTCTGAGATAAATACTTTTATTATGAAACAATTCAGGTTTATTTATTAACGTTAAACTTATGATATTCACGCAATTAAGGCTCTTTAAATATTTTAATAATTCAACTAAGAAAGTTTATCTTAAGAATGTGTTTGTGTTTTTTTCTTGTTTCAGTTGCTTAGAAGAGATAGCTATATAGCTATAAAGTCCCCTTTTTTCGTTTTGTTTTATGCTCTTTTCTCAAGTGACAATAACGAATATTTATATTTGTAACGGACACTGTACTAATATTAGTATAGATACATTTGCAACAATTGACCGCACACAATAGTACTACAGCAAGTACCTTCACACACAAGTACTGTACAGCAAGTACAGTCTAGCACTGGTTATCCCCCCGTCGTATAAGTTACATCCTGGTGGCGGAGAGCGATAGTGCACGTTGTAATGGGAAGTGAGCAGTTACCTCCCCCCTGAGAATGCGGAAACTGACGCCTCTCCATCGGGGACTATTCTGGAATACGAATTATAGATTAGCGGAATTGCCATAGATTAAAAAAGTCGTGTTGGTAAATCATGTTTTAGCGTGTGGGTTTCCGAATATCCAAATCCAAAATAGGTTGTCAGCGCGTATTTAAATGTTATATGTATGGTTGGGGATTTCATCTACCATTAAGTGCCCCCCCCCCCCGGCTTTGTTTTAATAAAAACAAAAACTTGGTTCGCCTTTATCATTAAATAAAGGTCTGTTCAGGTCTTATAATAGATTTTGCGATAATTTTATAAGAGTGTGAGTA